AATAAGGTCTAATTTGGTCCCATATACAAAATACTGAAGTATATGTTCATAGCTTAACCTAGATTCATATATAGGGCAATTGTAAGACATCAAAGTTTCTACATGAACTGACGCAGATAGATATTTGAGAAGTATTGTAACGTCGATATCAAATAGGTAGAGTGTGCCACATGACGGGTATTTGAGGTTGACGTGATGGCTTTGGGGGCAGATGATGCTAGCAGCTTCGCGGACGGCGAAGTGTTGTCATATCTGTTTGACTGATCTGGCCAACTTTGACATTACAATTATTATTGAATAATTATCACCTTACTGAGAAAATTGAAATTTCTTACTGATTTGAGTAATCGCAGTTAATGTCAAGTTCTAGCACAAGCCTAGTCCGTGGTCAGTAAATGTAAGTTTGGCCACCGAGAATGTCACATTCGTTGTGACACCACTTTTTTTATGATTTGGTTGTGCCATTCATATTTTTTAACTCTGACTACGTTCTTGAATTCATGAACTAAAAGACCTGAGCAGCCTTGCGCTAGTCCGCTTCTCGCAATGTTGTCCAGAGACTCCTCCACATCGGTCAAACGATCCTTGATGACTTTCTTGCGGTCGAGCTCTTCGCGAAGGGCATTGACTGTTTCCTGGTGGATACCAACAAGACATCCATCCTTGATGAGAATTGCTGCACCAGAATCTCCAGCGTAGGTTTCGCAATTATACGTGATGTGCCGTTTGTGACGAGTGACGCAGACGCCGAATGCCGGAGCAAATCCCAGTTGATCATTGGGCGAATCGTATTCTGCAATCCCGAGTCGAAACGATGCCAACACAAGACGGCGTCCTCTCAGGTGATCCGGATCTTCAGGATCGCGAAGTCCAGCTCAGAATTGCGAGCAACAACTTCAACATTTGCCATCTCGTCCTTCAACGCCAAAGGGACCACGCTTCCCACAGTGTATTCCTCCGTTAAATTGTGGTCGTATGTCACCGCTAGCGTCGGGCTGAAAAACACACCCATTCCAATGCTGTTGTCATCTTTGTCTTCTTCCACGATCACAAATACTGCCGTTTCGACTTGCTCTTGTACATGGAGGGAGATAAAATAGTCAGAATCCTCAACTGCGCGGTGCGGCACTTGCACGATGATCGCATCCTTTCCTAGTTCACTCACTGATGACGATGACTTGGGCAAAGCCACACCATTCGCGTCGAACACTGTGAGGTCGGACGCATCAACGTTCGCGAGATTGTTCGGACACTTGACCTTCACCGCATCCCGCAACGTTTCCACATCCTCAACATCCACGACAACAGAAGTCACCGACGTCACAGCGTTCCCATCTTCGCCCACGAGCTGGAACCATTTCCGCGCCATCGATCGATCTCACACGGCAACTTCAAGATTGAACTCTCATGAAATAACCTCAGCTGAGGTTAGCGGACGGAGCGATTCGTTTATGTGTGATCGTCCGCTCTTCCTACCCCTAAAAAGGCATCGAGAGTACCCCAAGACATCCTCAGAGACAGCGATGATACACTATACTATACTGTAATATACTATACAGTAATATACTATACAGTATAGTATAGTGTATCATCGCTGTCTCTGAGGATGTCTAGGGGTACTCTATACTGTATATCATCGCTGTCTGTGTATACTATACTATATGTACTATACTATAAGAAAGTTTAGGGGTACTCGACTATGTACTATAGAAAGAATAGGGGTACTCTACTATGTACTATACTACATAAAGTACAGTATAGTACATAGTAGAGTACCCCTAAACTTTCTCATAGTATAGTACATATAGTATAGTAGTATAGTACATAGTTGAGTACCCCTAAACTTTCTCATGTACTCAATCTCAATAAATTGGCTTTTCTACTGTCCCGACAACGCTCCGCATCGCTCAGTCTTAATCATACTAAATCGTGACAACTCGACCCATCGATGCGCATGCTGCGCGCCGTGCGGGCGCTGGCCAATGGCCTCCGCAGTCGCCACCGTGACAGAAATCCT